CCAAAAAAATTACTGGACTGGATGGCTTTCCAGCAGAATTCTACAAAATGTACAAGGAGGAGTTGATACCAATCCTACTGAAAGTATTCCAGGCAACTGAGAAAGATGGAATTCTCCCCAAATCATTTTATGAAGCGAACATCACACTGATACCCAAACTAGGTAAAGATCCAACAAAAGAAGAGTACTACAGGTCAATATCCCTTATGAAAACAGATGCAAAAATCCTCAACAAGATTCTAGCAATCAGATCCAAAAACACCTCTCAAAAATCATCCACATGACCAAGTAGGCTTCATCCAGGATGCAGGGCTGGTTCAGCATTCGCAAAATCAAAAATGTCATTAAATACATCAACAGGTGTAAAAGCAAGATTATCTCATTAGATGCAGAAAAAGCGTTTGATAAAATCCAGCATCCCTTCTTATAAAAACCCTCAAACACCAGGTATAGAAGGAACATACTTCAAAATAGTAAGCACCATCTATGATAAACCCAGAGCTAACCTATTGCTAAATGGACAGAAACTAGAAACATTTCCCCTGAAAACTGGAATAAGATAAGGCTGCCCACTCTCACCCCTTTTGTTCACTACAGTGTTGGAAGTCCAGCTTGGGCAATTAGACAAGAGAAGGAAATCAGGGGTATACAAATAGGAAAAGAGGAAGTCAAGTTGTCCCTCTTTGCTGATGATATGATCCTATACCTTGAAAATCTAAGAGAGTCTGTCAAAAACCTGCTTGCACTGATAAAGGACTTTGGCAAAGTCTCAGAGTACAAAATAAATGGGCAAAACAGTTGCATTCCTATACACCAACAACAAGCAGGCAGAGACCCAAATTAAAAGCACAATCCCAGCTGGGCTCGGTGGCTCAGCCTGTAATCCCACGCCCTTGGGAGGCTGAGGTGAGTGGATTGCCTGAGCCCCTGGATTTGAGACCCGCCTGGGCAGCGAGACCTCATCTCTACAGTAAATAAAAAAAAATCAGCCGGGCATGGTAGTGCATGCCTGTAATTCTGGCTACTTGGAAGGTTGAGGTGGAAGGATCACTGGAGCCCAGGAGGTCGAGGCTGCGGTGGCTGGAAGCGGCCACTGCACTCCAGTCTGGGCAACAGAGTGAGACTCCAACTAAAAAAAAAAAAATACCTCGGCATCTTCCTAACCAGAGAAGTGAAAGACCTTTACATTCAGAATTACAAAACACTGCTCAAAGAAATCCAAGAAGACACAAACAAATGGAAAAATATTCCATGCTCATGGATAGGAAGAATCAACATTGTTAAGGTGTCCATCCTACCAAAGGCAATCTACAGATTCAACGCAATACCCATTAAGTTACCAACATCATTCTTCTCAGACCTGGAAATGACAATACAGAAATTCATATGGAAACATAAATGACCACAAATAGCCAAAACAATCCTTAGCAAAAGAAATAAAGCGGGAGGTATCACACTTCCAGACTCCAAATTTTTTACTATAAGGCTACAGTAATCAAAACAGCCTGGTATTGGTATAAGAACAGGCACATAGACCAATGAAACAGGATAGAGATTCTGGAACAAAGCCTCAATTCCTCAACCAACTCATCTTTGATAAAGCCTCCAACAACCACTGGGGAGAGAACCTGTTCAAAAAAATGGTGCTGGAAAAACTGGCTGACCACATGCAGAAGATTGAAACAGGACCCCTACCATATCACCATACACAAAAATTAACTCCAAATGGATCAAAGACCTAAATGTAAAACCTAAAACTATAAGAATCTTAGAAAATGCAGGAGACACCCTTATGGAAATTGGAACTGGCAACCAATTTCTATTCAGAACACTAAAGGCCAATACCTTAAGAAATAAGATAGGCAAGTGGGACCTCATCAAACTAATGTGCTTCTGCAAAGTGAAAGAAACCATCAAGAGAGCAGGGAGACAACCCACAGAATGGAAAAAAATATTTGCCAACTGTATATCTGACAAAGGTCTAACATCTAGGATCTACAAGGAACTCAAATGCACCGAAAGGAAAAAAAAAGCAGTCCCTTTAAAAAGTGGGCAAAAGACATGAATAGTCATTTCTCAAAAGAAGATATATGGTCAGCCAACAGACACATGAAAAAGTGCTCAGCCTCACTCATCATCAGAGAAATGCAAATCAAAACTACATTGAGATACCACCTAACCCCAGTAAGAATGGCCATCAATAAAACAAACAACAACAGATGCTGGCAAGGATGTGGAGAAAAAGGAACGCTTCTACACTGCTGGTGGGAATACAAATTAGTGCAACCTCTTTAGAAGACAAAGTGGCGATTTCTGAAAGAACTAGAAATTGACCTTCCATATGACCCAGCAATTCCCCCATGGGAATATACCCAGAGGAACACAAATCATTCTACAAAAAAGATATCTGCACACGTATGTTTATTGCAGCTCTATTCACAATAGCAAAAACATGGTACCAACCATGCTGCCCGTCGAAGCTGGACTGGATTAAAAAAATGCAGCACATATGCACAATGGAATATTATGCAGCCATAAAGAAGGACAAATATATGGACTTCACAGCAACTTGGATGGATTTGGAGTCGATCATGCTCAGTCATCTATCACAGAAACAAAGAACAGAGTACCATATGTTCTCACTCATAAGCGGTTCTTGAACAATTATAATACTATAAGAAAGCGATCAGCAATAATGGGAAACTGTCAGGTAAGGGGGTGGGATTGGCAGTTGAGGGAAACTGCTAGGGGAGGGAGGGGCATATCCCATCAACAAGGGTACCTGTATAATCAATGTTTGTATTCCTAATTCTGAATTGTACCCTGCATCTTTATAATAAAAAAAAAATATAGATAGAGAGAGAGAGAGAGAGATGCTAAATGACCCTTGACCAGAGCTAAACTTAGTTAGGAGCTTAGCAATTTTGTTACAGAACAGGCATGATGTTTCAAATAATTTACAGCCTATTTCATTCTCCTGGGCCCCAGATTACATACAGTTTTGAACTGTATTCATTACTCTTTATGTACTTTTTTTTTTTTCTGAATTGGAGTCTACTCTTGTCACCCAGGCTGGATTGCAGTGGCATCCTCATGGCCACTACAGCCTCGACCTGCTGGACTTAGGTGATCCTTCCACCTCAGCCTTCCAAGTAGCTGGAACTATAGACACACGACACATGCCACAACGCCTGGCTAGTTTTTGTGACTTATTGTAGAGATGAGGTCTCACCAAGTTGCGCAGACCAGTCTTGAACCCCTGGGCTCAGGCAAACCTCTGGCCTCTGTCTCCCAAAGTGCTGGGATTAAAGGTTGAGCCACCATACTTGGTCTCTTCATGTACTTTTAAAAAAGAGTACTTAAGGAAAAAACAGAGGGATAAAAAGCTCCTAAGTGGCACCAATTGCTCACCCCTCTTTACCCTCTTGGTTGCTTTCTCATGACCTCTAGGTTTTTCCACAAGACAGACATAGTGCACGATGATGGAGAAAATGTTAATGATTCTTCTTGAACAATGACTTAACTGAGTTAGGCATCCCTGTTTCCAGTTGGCAGGCTGTTCTCACAGTAGGAGTTGTCAGAATTCTGTCTGTTTAGCTCCATGATATACCCCAAATATTCATAGTACCTAGAAGATACTGTGCCTTTCACTAAAATTGTATTATCTTTTCTGTCAAGTTGGGTCTTAAACTATCATCTAAAGCAACAAATGCAACCTCAAGCAGGCTGTAGCTATCTCACAGTGTCCTCCTTCTCACTAGAAAAAATACGCCCCTCACTGTAATCAGTTCCTCACAAAGCTAAATCTTAGACTTGGGGAGGAGGAGATGAAGATAAAAAGCTAAGGGTAGAGGAAAGGACCTTTAACTAAACCCCAAAAAGAGACTTAGGAACCCACAATCATTATTGACTCATAAGTGATAACTTTCCCAAGAAGAACTTGCCTCAGTGTCAAAATTAAAATATACACGTAGCAAGTTCAAGTTGATTGATATGGTAGTTTGAACTCCCTGGTAATTTAAATGAAAATATACTCAATACTTAACATAAATAGCTATTATAAGGAGCTTCTTATTCTTTTTCTAAGGGTAAAAATATATATAATAATAGATGCTGTAGAAAAATTCTCAGTACATAAGCTAATACCTGCCCTACCACACTTCATCTTACAAGAATAGGCAACCACAAGCAGAAAAATTTTTTTTTGTCTAAGAGATACAAGAAATATTCTAAAGATGCAAGGGTTATGGATCCTTTCAAAACTTTAGAGTGCTGATGGTTTGGGAACTTCATTTTAACTATTATCATACTTGCATTAAAAAGCATTCCTCTTATCGCATTTGCAAATAATTTGTCTTTACATTTTCAAATTGAGAAAAACATATAAAAAGACTTCCCTAAGTTAGAAGGGAAAACTTGGATGATTTAAAATGAGTAATCAATGACCAAAAAGAAAAAAAGAAAAAAGAAAATACCTAGAATGGAAGAAAGGAAGTGGCAACTAATAACTCATGACAACTTGATATTATTATAAAAATGTCAGTCAGTAAAGACAGTGGATACTTCAAATGAATTATAAGAGGAGTGAAACAGTATACAAAAAGATATTTACATTAGAAAAGTTCTTCTCTCTTAATAGCATAGGCTTTCTTATGTCTCACTAGTATTTTTCACTTTACATAACTTTTTTGCCTGGCTGACCAGAATCTATTAAGTTACTCTTCTCAATAGAAACTCAATATAATCTTTACCACATTTCAAAATGAGTTTCCCAAAAATGTTAGCTCATGCCATTCTTTAACATTAGTTTTTATAGTAACTCATCAACTTTGTATCATTATGTCAGATCATGGTTTTATAACTATGAGTAAAATCTACTTTTTAAAACAATGACTCCTTGTCAATAAATTAATTTAATACATAAACTACAAATATAAATTTCAACTCTCTGAAAAAATAATTTAATATGAATTTAAAAGTCCACAGGGTATTTATCTTACCATTCAGTAAACAAGACCACCAGATCATCTTGATTGGCATATTGTTCCATGACTGCTTTCATTAATCTCACTTTTTGGCCCCCTCCAATACTATTAATTCCATCACCACCTCTCCACTCTTCTCCTTGACCAAGGACCTATAAAGGAAATCAACATTTCATTCCTGAACAAAACTCAAATTTGACATACCACAAAACACAGAAAGACATCAGCAATTTGCACAGTACTGCACCATAACCACTCTTTAAATATTTCAGTAAATCTCATGCTATGCTAGAAAGAAAAAAAAATGCCTAAAGCTGGTCATAATTCTTAATGTTCTTCACTTTAAAAATGCCATTTCCTTAACTTCCTCTTTTTCTCTTTGGATACTCCTGATTTCCTACTCTTTTCTGATTGCTCTGGCTAGGACCTCCAACACTATGTTGAATAGGAGGAGCGAAGTGGCAACCTTGTCTCAATCTGGTGTTCAGGGAAAATGCTTCCAACTTCTGTCCATTTATCAATATGTTGGCTGTGGGTTTATGGTAGATGGGTCTTTCTGTTTGGAGGTATGTTCCCACTACGTTTAGGTGTTCAAAGATTTTTATCAATAAGGTTTGCTGGATTTTGTTTAGAGCTTTTTCTGCATCTACTGACATATTCATGTGGTTCTTATTTTTATATCTGTTGATGTATTTAATTACATTTATGGTCTTGCAGATGTTGAACCAGTCCTGCATCCATGGAATGAAGTCTAATTGATCATGGTGGATGATTTTTGAGATGTGCTGCTGGATTCGATAAGGCTACAATAATCAAAACAGTCTTGTTTTGGTACAAGAACAGGTATATAGACCAATGTAACAGGATAGAGAGTCCAGAAGCAAAGCCTCAACTTCTCAACCAATTCATCTTTGACAAAGCCTCCAAAAACAACCACTGGGGTGAGGAGAACCTGTACAGTAAACCGTGCTAGGAAAACTGGCTGACCACATGCAGAGGAACGAAACAGAACCCCTACCTATCACCCTACACAAAAATCAACTCCAAATGGATCAAAGACCTAAACGTAAAACCTCAAACTATAAGAATCTTAGAAAACACAGAAGACACCCTTACAGAAGTTGGAATAGGCAACTAATTCCTGATCAAAACTCCAGTAGCCCATGCCATAGGAGATAAGATTGACATACAGGACCTCATCAAATTGAAAAGTTTCTGCAAAGCAAAAGAAACCATCAGTGGGGAGACAGCCCAAAGAATGGGAAAAAATATTTGCCAAATCTATATCTGACACAGGCCTAACACCCATGATCTACAAGTAACTCAAACATACTGAAAAGAAAAAAACAAACAGCTATACTAAAAAGTGGGCAAAAGATATGAATAGATACTTCTCAAAAGAAGACATACAAGCAGCCAACAGATACATAAAACAATGCTCAGTCTCACTAATCATCAAAGAAATGCAAATCAAAACCACACTGAGATACCTAACTCCAGTCAGGATGGCCATCATTAACAACTCAAAAAACAACAGATGTTGGTGAGTATGTGAAGAAAAGGGAACACTTCTACACTGTTGGTGAGAGTGTAAATTAGCACAACCTCTGTGGAAAGCCTGTGGTAATCTCTAAAAGATCTAAAAATCAACCTTCCATACAACCCAACAATCCTCCTTCTGGCAATACACCTGGAGGAACACAAGTCATTCTACAAAAAAGATACTTGCACACACATGTTTATTACAGCACTATTCACAACAATAAAAACATGGAACTAACCATGCTGCCCATCAAAAGTAGACTGGATTTTAAAAAATGTAGTATGTACACATTATGGAATATTACACAGTCATAAAGAAGGACAAAATAATGGGCTTTGCAACAACTTGGATGGATTTAGAGTCTATCATACTCAGTGATCTATCACAGAAACAAAGAACTGAGTATCACATGTTCTCACTCACAAGTGGACCCTGAACAATTATCATACTACATGAAAGAGATTGGCAGTAGTGGATCACTTCGAGGGAAGGGTGGGCATATAACATTAATAAGCGTACCTGATCCCAAGTCAGGTGAATGGAGGACCAATGAGAGGCCCAAACTTTACCTGTACAATGATCATTTATGTACCTAAACCTGAATTGTACCCTACATCTTTAAAATAAATAAGTAAATAAAGCCATTCCCAATTTTACCGCTTCCAAAGTTAAGAGTCTAATCTAAGGAGATGAACTCTGAAAGTATTTCTCATATTCTTTTATTTTATTCCTATTTGTTCATACCAAAATGAGGGGGGGAAAATGAAGAAACCTCCCATGTTGCTTTTTTCAATATAACAGGAAGTCTGAGTGATTAACCCTTGAACTCAGAGACTCATGGACTGAGCCTCTAAGCAATTTTCCTACTGAACCCAAATGTATTGTTAGAACTCCAGAGGACATCAAGTAAAATGTCACCTTTTTTACCTTATAAATCTCAAACTTACAAAATCCTCATAAGCTTAAGAAGAATTTATCAATACAAGAAGCTGCTTAAGCACAATTTTAACTGGGGCTAAACCTGCATCGTTCCTCTTCACTGTTTGCCTGAGCCTCAGCAACTGCATCCTGAATTATAAACGTGTGGCTAGGAGGGAGCAGGAAGTACAGTATGTGTCCCTCTCCCTCACACACAGTTTTGATTTTAGTTCCATCCAAATATAGTCTGAAGTTGTCAAAATAGTGATCTACTAGGATATCTGGGAAGTAAAGAGGCAAGAAAATTAAAAATACAAAAGAAAAGGAAAAAATAAATTTTAAAAACAAACACTATTCATTCTAACATAACACTGAGCAAAATGTAAATCGGGTTGCCAAAGCCTGTGGGGTTCCTAGTCTCAAATCTCTTGTTATCACTTCGACACTATGCATATCGGAGGAGAAGGTGGGGGAAGGAGGGATGCACTCAAGAAAACTCAAGCTGTTGTGGTTCTGGATTCAAAAAGAAGATAATCTAGTAGAATTATTAGTTAGTTCTCACCATATAAAGTACCCTCCTCTGGCCCCTGAAATTTGTTCCAAAACCCATCTGGAAGTAATATGATCCTAATCCTAAAGTAATATTGGCCCTAACCACATCTGAGAGACTAACTGTGTAGTACACCATGTTAAGAACTCTGTATGTTCTTTCTACTACACCAGCGGTCATCCGACTTTAATATGCAACAGATTCACATGGAAGACTTGTTCAAACACAGACCACAAGGTATCATTCCCAAAATTCGTGATTCAGTCGGTCTGAGATAGAGCCTGAGCATTTTAGTGTCCAGGTGAGGCATATGTTGGTGGTTCCCACACTTTGGGAACCACTGCATTACATAACAAGAAGAAAGCAGGAGGATCATCAACTCCACAATTAGTCAAATGGGGCTGGGGTCCAATATCTGACACTATACCTTGTAACACTATATACTATGGAACAAGTTTTTCTCATCCATAAACAAAGCAGTATCCACTTTATATGGCTTATATTATGAATTAACAGCATATCATATCCAAAGTTCCTAACAAAATGCCTTATATATAAGAAGCATTCCACTCTAGGCCAGGTGCAGTGGCTCACACCTATAATCCCAACACTTTGGGAGGTGGAAACGAGAAGCTTGCCTGAGCCCACTCACAGGTTCGAGAGCAGCCTGGGCAATATGGCCAGACCTCACCTCTACAATAAATCAAAAAATTAGCTGGGCATAGTGGTGCACACCTGTAGCTGCAGCTACTTGGAAGGCTGAAGTGGAAGAATCGCCTGAGCCCAGCAGGTTGAGGCTGTGGTGGCCATGAGCGTGCCACTGCACTCCAGCCTGGGCAATGGAGTGAGACTCCAACTCAAAAAAGAAAGAACAGAAACATTCCACTCTCTTCCCAGTCTGAACCCTACCAATTCCCCCACTGGAGTTCAGCATTATTTTATTCTATTTTTTCTGTTTCTTCCATAGTATCTCCTATCAGTGCATCCTACTATATTTCTCATCTATCCTAACATATTTCTAATGTATTTTTCATATATTCCTTATTAAACATCTAGTTGTTACTAGATCTCTTTTCCAGCAAAGTTTAGCCTCTTTACTAGCTATTCTATATTAACAACTGCACCTAGTCTACCTTTTTTTCCAAAAAAAAAAAGTCTACCTTTTTTTTCCACAACATACATTCAAATAGCTCAGCTTTTTGCCAAGCAAAAGCAATCTTTCCCCTCTTTTTATTTTTTTTTTCTGTTTTTCATGATTCCTATGTAGATACCTCCTTACTCTCCTCTTATTTGTAGGAAAGAACTGGCTGAGAGATCCCTCTTTCCATTATAAAAAAGAAAAGAAAAAGGCAGGCCTCTCATAGCTAAGTTTAATAGTTCTATCAACTTCCCCAAGTTTCCACTGATCATTTATCAATGAGATGTTCATCTGGAGAAAAGTTTTCTAAATCCATTTTTTAGCGCATTACAATATTCTCAAATTTCTCTAAAACGAAATAAGAACAGAAACAAATTGACAAAAACAACAAAGAAAAGCAATTCTCGATCAATGGACAGAAAAGATAGCCCTTCATACTCATGTTTCCAATTCTCTATAAACAAAGGCACATACTATGATAGACAAATCTATTACAGAAAAAACTATTCAAAATCAGTGAAAAAAATGACTGTGAAATCTTAGTTATACTGTGTTTGTATGTCCACCCAAAAGAAATTATGTATATGTATACACACACAAATATAAATATTAACATATTTTGTTGTTTTATAGAACATGCTTATATAAAGCATTAGCAAAAACTAAGAAATTATTATCTGAGTGGCAGAGTATTTTTTATTTTTAGTTATTATGGGTACATAATAGTTGTATATATTTATGTGATATATGTGATATTTTGATACAGGGATACAAATCAGGGTAACTTGGGTATCTATCACCTCAAACTTTTATCCTTTATTTGTGCTAAGAGCTATTAATAAGGCCAAAAACTGTATATAAACTAAGAACAATTATGTAATCAAGGTTAACTTCCTTGTGTAAATTATAGATTGTGACAGTACTGCTACTATAAAAAATGTACTTTAGGCACACATTTTAATATGTCCATAGATTTAAGAATATACCATACCTTCACAGTATAATTGAAATATTTGGCTGACTGCATAAATCGATGGAATCCATCATTTTCTTTTGTTGCTACAGTTATGACTAATAATTTATCTGCAAAGACAAAAGGAAACAACATAGGAAGATTTACCAAAAGGTTAAAAGCTAACACTTTACATCTCACAACAGTGATTAGAGACCTCATTAAGCCCATGAAAATGTTCTGGTTTGTTCATCTACATGAGAAAACAAAGAACTATTGAAAAAAAAAAAGATTCAAATTGGTTATATCACTGCCAAATGATGAACCTTCAAATAACAAGTTATTTTAATGGTAAAAAGTGTATTAATGGTTAAAGAAAAGCATGTCCTCAAGATTAAGATAAAAACTTCTATAAAATGCTTATTAAATCTAAAGATCAAGACTCTCCTAGACATTATCTAATCATCAGTTTCATTGTTACCTATAAATCATTCCTGACTTATGATACACATCACTGAGGTTGTATGCAAACTACATTGATCAAAAACTGACATATAAAAAAGAGATGCAAGCTTTGAGTCTGATATGAATTTTCAAAAACAAAACAAATTATGACATATTGGGAACAAATATTTAGAAATAAGATCCTAATTTTTCCTCCTATTCATGATTTTTTAAATATGAAAAATCTCAAAAGCTATGGCAATTATATCATTTATTTATTCAGTATTTTGTTTTGTTTTTAAGAATAAATGAAACCAAAATCACCAGTGTCCTAGTTAATATACTGCTCTTAGCTACTATTTTATACTGGATTATTATTTTTAATCCAACATAACACTTCTTTTTAGTAGACATTGATAGATTTAAAGAATCATTTCAAAATACCTCTAGAAGCTACTAAGGATAATGATTATTATTAAAAGGCACGTTTGAAAATGCATAAAAGAAGTGTACCAGCAAATGTCAAAAGAGCTGGGAATTTCTTTTTTTAAAAAAACTGAAGATTTAGGAGGACACATGGACTAAGAAAGTCAAAGTAATATCTTTTCAACACTCTAGGCACTGAGTAATATCATTTGTTTCTCACTTGCTCTCTATTAATAATACAAAATTCAAAAGTTGTTGAGTGTCCTCTAAGCAACAATCAGTGAACAACATTGACGTATTATAGGAATCAATTCAAAATAATAATCAGTGCACTTCCCCATCAAATTTTGAAAATAACTACAACAATGAACAACTGCGATATGCATAAAGAAATCATAAACTCAAACATTTGTAAAAGTGAACCAAAAGAAGGGAATACATTTATTTGAAGACAAATATCAACATTCTTAGACTCTTTTCAAGAAAGAGGTATTTCTTATATAATTTTCATTATAAGAAATAAATATTTCAGGAAATATAAAATCATTTTTATTAAAGTTGCCAAAAACCTAATAAATATATTTTAAGAGTTTTTTCTAAATTAACTTTTTTCATTTATAAAGTTTTAAACATAGCTTAACTAATTAAGAAAATTGGATATGTTAGCATTCATAATAAATTTTGAAATAGGGAATACCAAATTTTATTCTATAAGAGTAAAAAGCATACTTTTTAAAGTCTCTTTCTCTGTAATAAAATGATTCCATTGAAAGATAACTTTTTCTTACTTGAATTTTTCCATGAAATCATAACAATTAACTACAAGTTTAGATTTTGATTGACTGGATTTTCACACTCTTTATTTCCAGTACAAAGTTAACGGCAAGAATTTCATCATCCTTAATAGGAAAAGTAAAGTTGGCCAGACCTGTGGGTAGACAAAAATGTTACCAAATCCAATGACTCAGAAGACAGAACTTAAAAATGTGTAGTCTGACCATGTCTAGCAATCCTATGCCAAATAAGAACTCCTACTCTTTCAGTACTGTTGCTAATTATTTTAAAAGGCAAATAATAAATATGTAATTTTGTTAAAGGAAGGTATGCTTAATAATATTACATATAAACAGCTGTTTCTTCAAACTTGCTATTTAGTGTCATTACTATGATAAGAAATAAATCTTATTCAATTGTAGAAAGTAAAAAAATAGAGTGATGACATGTATTACTCACAAGTTTTTATTAACCAATTCTAAAATTCAACTTTCTCACCATTTATGAAGTATTACTATCAGAAAGCTTAACCTAAATTTGATACATACTTTAAATTTCACTACCATTTACATTACAAATTTACCAGAAATAAAGAGACAGAGAACATGATAAGTGACAGAAAAGAGATGTCATCAATAAAATCCAGAACATGAAATTCTACAGGACAAATGACTTATATAAACAATGACAAAGGAGGAAAAAAAGGGAAAGGAAATAGTATACCAACATAAGAGACATTTCAAACAAATGAAAATCATGGATCCTGATGTGTGTGTGTGTGTGTGTGTGTGTGTGTGTGTGTGTGTGTGTGTGTGAAAACTGGAGAAATTTGAACAATAAATGGATATTTGGTGATATTGAGAAATTACTGTTAATTTTTTTGCATGCTAATTGCCTTTACTTTCTAAAAAATTGCCCTTATAATTTAAAGACTTATAACCAAAGTATTTACCCAATGAAATAATATAATGTCTGCGATTTGTTTTAAAATTATTTTGGTTAGATGGGAGGCAACAGAGGAGAAAAATAAAAATTAAACAAGACTGACCATATGTAATGACTACTGGATATGTTTGAAAATTCCTATAATTACAAAGAGAGAATTCAACTTTATACAAAATGTCTAATCTTCCAGTCGAAAAAATGATAGAAAATTATTCAATGCAATCTTTTAACAGCCATAATCATCTAAATATATGGGAAGATGAAATACATAGAGAATCTTTTTAATTTTTTTATTTTTATTTTTTATTTTTTGAGTTGGAGTCTCACTCTGTCGCCCAGACTGGAGTGCAGTGGCCGCTCCCGGCCACCGCAGCCTCGACCCGCTGGGCTCCAGCGATCCTTCCGCCTCAGCTTTCCAAGTAGCTGGAACTACAGGCGCGCACTACCACACCCGGCTGATTTTTGATTTATTGTAGAGATGAGGTCTCACCAAGTTGCCCAGGCGGGTCTCGAACCCATGGGCTCAGGCAATTCACTCATCTCAGCCTCCCAAAGGTGCGGGATTACAGGCTGAGCCACCAAGCCCGGCTCATAGAGAACCTTTTTAAACCAGACACTATTAACATTTAAATAACTAGAGTGAGAAGACTGAGGAAATGGTCTTCAATAAGAGACACCCACCAACTTCTATTACCATCAAACTAGAATAGCAACCACTCTCTCAACTTCTGGGTTTCACCAAGATACCCGACAATGTGGCAAATCAAAGTTCATGTATAACCAAATGTAACCTCTTTTGCCACCTTCTGACTCTATTAGAATATAGATAATACAGTTTGTATGAATAAGAAACATGCGATGCATCTATATAGACAAGTGTGGTAGATCTGAACAACCACTTACGAAACAAAAATTACTTTATGGCAAAAAAATAGTATTAATAATAATTTATATAATTGTCTTTACACAGTCTTCCCATATGCTTACCACCACAGTAAGATTTAATAAATATTTGTTCAATGGCTGGATTTAGCTCGTTATAAAATTTCTGATGCATTTCAGAATTTCTCCAAAAATCAAGATTTAGAAAGTCCGAAAACATGCTATGTTCTTTTATTAATGCGCTTACCAGTCTGTAGACAAAAAACAAATTGTTAGTCATTTTTTTTCTCCAAATAGTTGTTGATCCTGAGCAGAATTTATCAGTATTCAGTGGTGACCTGATTTTTCTTTTCAAAAACAAACCATGGTTTCAAAACAGAAAGTTGTGGAGTTTTTCTGCTAATACATGCTAAAGCAGCATATGAAGCCCACCTGAAACCCATTGCCTTAATGAGCTATCACAATAACTCAGCACTAGCCCAGCTGTCTTGTCTTTGATCACTATCTTCCCAATTAACTTTAAACACAGTTCTTAATTTTAGATTTGCAAAAGTTAAAAAAAAAAATTTCTACCACAGAAGCTCTGAATATACTTTTCTCACTCTGAAACTAACTCATTTTATGATCAGACATGTCCCACACCTGTAAAGATCAGTGGTTTTTAACTTGTACTGAACAAACATGCTTTCTTAGTAATAGTTAGCAAAGTAGAGGTGTTGACAGACTTCTGCTGAAAAAAGGCAAAACAGTAAATACTGCAGGCTTCATGGGTCACATACACTCTCTATTACAATTCTTTTTTTCTGTCTTTATTTTTTTTTTTTTTACAACCTTGTAAAAATGCATAAAACATGCCTTCAGCACACGGTGGCTCATACCTGTAATCACAGCACTTTGGGAGGCTGAGTTGGGAGGACTGCTTGAGCCAGAAGTGTGAGGCTGCAATGAGCTATGATCATGCCACAGCACTTCAGCCTGCCCACAGAGTGAGACACCAACTCAAAAAAAGAAAAAAAAAAAAATTCTTAGTTTTTTGTCTGGCTGTGCAAGACAGACATGAACCAAATTTGGCCTATGCATTATAGTTTGCTACTACAGTTGGCTGCGTGGGTATGAAGACAAACTATGTGGATTCAAATCCCAGTTCTATCATTTATTATTGGTTTCAAATTGGTGAGTTATTTAAATTCTGTATCTCATTTGTTTCCCATCTATAATAAGTGTGTAATAATGGCACCTACCAGACAAGATTTCTGTGAGGGTTAAATGAGTTACTATATATCAAATGGCTTACACAAAGTCCTACACATTATTGATACAGTGTGTTCTTATTTCTACTCAAGGGATTCCTGAGTAAGGGAGTTTGTAGTTGATGTGCAAATCTCTGCAAGTTATAATTACAATTTCCATTTCTTTATCAGAGATGCTTTCCATGTTTTTAAAATTATGTAAAAAAAACAGTCTTGAAGCTGTTTATGCAAATAATTTAGCAAGTAACTAGATACTTCTTCTCAAATCTCTCCATTCCTCGCTACCTCCAAGCAAGCTGTAACTCTAACCCAGGTTATAATCATCACTAGCCCAGGCTTCTGCAATAGCCTCTTAAGTTCAGTTTGTCCACTCTAAACATTTCTATACAAAGCAGCTACAGTGGTCAT